GATTCTATGATTCTATGATTCTATGACTGGGGTTCAGGGCCGGCTCAGAATTTTTGGCCACCCCAAGCGGTGAAGGAGGGGGAAAAAAAAGCCGTGATCGGTGGCACTTAGGCGGCAGCTCAGCCGTGCCGCTTCATTCCTCGGTGGCAATTCAGTGGCGGGTCCTTCAGTCCGAGAGGGACTGAGGGACCTGCCGCCAAATTGCCGCCGAAAACCCGGACGTGCCACCCCTTCCCATTGGCCGCCCCAAGTACCTGCTTCGTTCGCTGGTGCCTGGAGCCGGCCCTGCTGGGGTTGCCGGGTGTCCTGTTTTTGACTGGAATGTCGGGTCAAAAAGGGGACCTGGCAATGTCCGGTCAGCACTAAAAGTCTGGTTACCAGAGTAACCATGATCAGCCTCCCTGCCGAGAGAGCGGGAAGACCAGCAGCTGCTCAGCTGTTGATGGAAAGCCTCAGATGCGTGGGTGGCCAGTGACCCAGCTTTTGGGAAGGCTAGGCCCCGGTCCTTCACCTTGTGCCTGAAGCCTCGCCCCTCCCCTTTCTCTTCTCCCCCCTCTCCCACAGGAGTCCAGAGCACCCCCACCACGGCCCCTCTCCCCAGCACCATAAGGCCAGGGGGTGATGCCCCAGCCCCGGTCTGCTGGGTGACCAGCCGGCATGGCTGCATCACCCCCAGCCCTGGTGTGCCAGGTAGCCAATCCCGGAGCACCAGGTGGCAGCGCCCCCAGTCCCAGTGCACCGGGCGGTGCGGTCCAAGTTCCCGATGGGCACCACGGCCCCAGCACAAGCTGCCCCAATTCCCTGCAGAAGGCAGGCAGGCCAGCCCCAGCTAGCCTGAGCCAGCCAGGGCAGAGTGCTGGAAACTGTAGGAGGGGCCTGGCCCTGGGGCGGAGCATGGGTGGGGCATGCTAGGCTGTTTGGGGAGGCACAGCCTCCCCCTGCTTATGATAACTGCTGTCCACGCTCAGTGGCGGCTACAGGAGGCATTTCGCAGCCCGGGGCGGCAGCTCCGCTTAACTAGTGGGTCGGCCCAGGGCTGGGGAAGGGGAGTGCCCACAGGTTTGCACTGGTCCTGCGAGCAGAGCGAGCGAGAGAAGAGAAAGCTCCGAGCACACCAAAGAGGCTGCGGAAGGAAGGAGGCAAAATGCTACTTGCGGGGCGTGGATGTCGGGAGATGGCTGTTCAAAGAGCAGCTCCTGGCGCCGCTCCATTCGCCCCCTGTTGGCTGCAGAGCGGTCTGGGCACGGCGCGCCACGCAGGGCCTGTTCCCCTGAAGGGGCAGGCTAGGCCAAACTGCCAGTCTCGGCTCCCCACATGGCATTATCACTACCCAGGTAGGAGCCCGGTTGCTCCCTGGCACCGCTCCCTGGGAACTAGAGCATCCGCTCACTCTGGGCGGCAGAAGTTGGCAGGCTCCAGCGCTTTGCAGCCAGCCGCCCCAGTTGCAGCCTAGGTAGCCCAGAAGCTGGGGCCCCAGGAGCCCTTCACTGTGGGGTGCAGAGGAACCAAGCGCAGAGGCTCAGTAAACCCCTCTGGAGAAGTGGGGAGACCCCGGAACCAATATTTCTGTGTAAATTTTCTGGAGCCAGCCCAGGTGAGCGAGTCACAGCTGCCGTGTATGTGTGGCTATAAACAATGGGGCAAGTTCCCCAGATGGAAGTGAGCAGCCCCCTGCCCTCACTTCCACAGACCCAGACTGGCAGAGGACTAACTGGGCGTGTTTGGGACTGTCCCTTGCCTTGGTGTTGGGGGCCTGGAGGAACTGGGAGTCAGGACTCCTGGGCTCTCTCCCTGGCTCTGGAAGAGGTGGGGGGGGTAGTGGTTAGAGTAGGGGGGGGCTGGGAGCCAGGACACCTGGGTTCCATCCTCTGCTCTAGGTGGGGAGTGTAGGCTCATGCGTTAGAGCATGGAGGTCTGGAGGTCAGGACTCCTGGGCTCTAGTCCCAGCTTGTCCACAGATTTTTCTGTGACTTGAGTGAGTGGCTTATGGAGAGAGAATCTCCTGTCCCCTCCACGTAACTGGTGGGGTGGGGGGAGTGTGGCGGTCCCTGGCCTGGCGGGCAGGGAAAGAAGAGTAGGGGAGAAGGCGGAGCAGGGGTGTCCAGTTTTCAGAAATTGGAAAGTTGGCAACCCTAGCAGGGACAAGTATCAGGGGGTAGCTGTGTTAGACTGTATCCACAAAAACAACAAGGAATCCGGTGGCACCTTAAAGACTAACAGGTTTATGTGGGCATAAGCTTTCATGGGTAAAATGCATCTGAAGAAGTGAGGTTTTTTACCCATGAAACCTTATGCCCAAATAAATCTGCTGGTCTTTAAGATGCCACTGGACTCCTTGTTGTTTTTCTAGTAGGGACAGAGACCTTGTTCCTTTGCTCCTTGTCCTGCCCTTGTTGCCTGAGCCCAGACTGCTTTTTGCCGTTATTATTTATATAAAAACACCCACCAGAGACCGCAGCGAAGGCCAGGGCCCCTTTGCACTGGGTGCTGCAGACAGTAAGCGCTGGTCTGCATGGGGAATTTGACCAGCAGAACTATACTTGTCTAACTAATCCACTACAGCTAACCAGGGATAACTCCCCATGGGGACACTCTTATTCCAGTGTACGAGGGGTTTTGTCCAGTTTAGCTTATGTCACTTTGAAAATGGTGTAAACTAACCCTGACCAAGGCTCTCTCGTTCCACAATAAGAGTGTCCCCATGGAGATTTAGCCCAGGATAACTGCAGTGAATCAGTTACACTATTGTAGTTCTGCTGGTCCATTTCCCTGTGCAGATGAACCCTTAGTGAGAGGCAGCCCCTGCCAGGAGGAGTTCCCAATCTAAGCAAGGATTTTCAAAAGCACCGGAGGGATTTAGAAGCATAAGGCATTGGACACAGAGCACAATCACGCACTTCTGTTCCTAAATCCCAGAGGGACTTTGAAAATTGTCCCCTTAGACAAGACAGAATTATTGTCCCCATTTCACAGATGGGGAGCTGTGGTCCAGGGAGAGGAAGTGACATGCCCAAGGACTGTGCAGCAGAGCTGGGACTTGAATCTCAATCTCCCAGGAGTTCCACCCTGGTGCCTTAAGCATGAGCCCAGCCTTTCCCCCTAATCATACAGTGTCTCTGGAAGGAGGGATTATTTGTAGTGAAGGAAGGAGCTGGGCTGGGCTGTCTGGCTGGGACAGTTCATGGCAGGGCTAAGAACTGACAGAGCTCGGTGTGTCCCTGGCCTGGCTGGGAGTGAATAGAGGTCTGTAGGCTCAGGGCAAAGTGACTGACAGTGTCCCTAACGAGCTGGAGCAGTTACCTAGGCAAAGACTGTTACCTTACCACAGGGGCTTATTGTGCAGCACTGCTCAATGGTATCTCCCCAGGCCCCCTCCACTCTCCCACTCACAGGTTAATTCATGTTGGAAGTGAGTTTAGCACCAGTTGAATTAAGGCTTTAATTCTGAGTAAGAGTGTCCACACAGGAATTTAATGCAGTTTAATTAACCTACTTTAAATTCATACTTTTAGTTAATTCAGATTAATTTTCCTGAGCAGCCCTATAAGTTTTTATCTTTACGGCTCCAGCACCAGAAAGCAAATACAAAGAATCCAACACTGATCATTTCTAAAACCTCTTGTTTTTTAAGCCAATCTCATGATTTGGGTGGCCTGACTTGTGATTTTTGAGCGCTAGGGGTGGCAAAGCTAAGGAAAAGCCAGCTGAGAGGGAGGAAGGAGGTGGGTTATCGTCTGCATGAACCTGCAGCAGAAGAGCAGAAAGAAGATGATGCTTTCCCCCCCCCCCACAATTCAGTTAATTAATTACCTGAAAGTTGAAAGCTGCCCCGAGTCGCTGTGGAAATGTGTCAGGAAGCTCAAAGCCCTGCAGAAAAGTGCTTCTCTGGATAGTTAAACACACTCACAATGGTTCAAAAACCTTGAACTAGCAACACAAAACAAAGGTACAAGAGGGAAAGAATGATTCCCAAATCCACCAGTGTCTGCAGCATGATCCAGCAACATTGCTCTGGCGCTGATTGTACCAGCAGCAGGACTTCTGTCGCTCATTGGAAAGCTCACAACATGGCCAGATTTCCCAGAGTTCGGCTCTCAATTAAGCACCTAAATGCCGTGGCTAGATTTTCCAAAGCACCCAGGACCCAGTAGCTGTTAATCATTGTTCTCAAATGAGAGTTTTTATCAGCTGCTGGGTGCTGGCACTTACAGAAACCTGGCCATCAGTCTACAATTCCTGCCAAACATCAGCTCAAACCCATACACCAAAGCGATGTAATTGCTTCATGCAGTGACTGCTTTCCACGGAGCCAAATACTGGCATGATGTTCTCTTGCATCCACATGGCTGCACTCTCTGGATGAGGCCAACAAACAGTTTCACAAAGCCATAGCTTGTGACTAATATTTTTTGCTTGACATTTATATTTCATCACATCCCTACAAACCCACATGACATTAAACATTCCTGCAAATTCAAAGTTGACCGTGATGCTGTTGTCAGTTCTCATGATTTCACAGCACATCTCATAATATTTGCCATTTTTCTTAAAGCCCCACTCCTGAGGTGCTGGGATTATGTGAGAATCTTGGGTTTTGTTGAAATGTGTACATTTCTAGCCCTCCTGGTTGTGAAGAACACCTGGAAAACCTGACCTCCAAAAGGTCAAACACCAGAAGTCCAATAAAAGCAAACAAAATGTATAATTAAAAAAAACAACCACCTTATGAATTCTTGAGTTAATCTTGGGATTTGGAGGGGGAGGGAGGGGCTCATGATTTTTGGATACTTTGGGTTGGCAATGGAATCACTAAACAGAGCTGAGAGGACTCGGGAGCTGAGTTGTCCATATAAAGAGTCCGGGGGTAGAAATATAGGGTTTGGGTATTTTTCCCAATGTTATTCATAAGAAACTTTTTTTTCTAATAGGAAAACAAGTAGCATTTGCCCTAAGTATATTCTAGTGTCCTACAGCACTTCGGGTCACTGTGCATTGTCTAGCTGTGGCCCCAGAGAAGGTCTCTCACTTTCTGACTGCATGCCCCCTACAGTTGCTTCTGATTTCGGGAGGGTCTTTGATGTGGCTGGGCTGTGACGAGTCCTGCATTTCAGCAACTGGAGCATTAATGATATCTGCCCCGCTGCAGAGTGATCGCTGCATATGTCGGCGTCTCTTCAATCTGGGGCTGTGGATGCTTTAAGATAAACACAGTAATGTTATTTTTTTGCTAAGCCAGTTTAAAACCAGAGAAATTAAGCCAGAAAATGTCCATCTGACAACACTGCTTTATGTACCTCACGAGCAGTTCTAATGGGCATCTAGACTGGGAAACACCATCAACCTAACTTCCTACATTAACTTCTCTGAGGCATGCAGCTCAGATTTCTCGCTCCCCAGCCTCGGTCTGACCCTTTATTGCCCCCAGTTAGAAAGAGAGAGCTTTTGGGCAGAGTGTTGGCTGGAAAGCGACTTGGAGATGGGATCAAAGAAAGTGTCTCCTGTTGTTTGGTTCCTGTTGCATTCAAGGAAACACTATTTTGTAGATATTATGTAAATAAATGGGGTTGCATCTATGAACATACCTGTGTCTGTCATCACTTTCACCTCTCAATCTTACTATGCACAAGACCTAGATCAGTGGTCGGCAACCTTTCAGAAATGGTGTGCCAAGTCTTCATTTATTCACTCTAATTTAAGGTTTCGCGTGCCAGTAATACATTTTAACGTTTTTAGAAGGTCTCTTTCTATAAATCTATAATATATAACTAAACTATTGTTGTATGTAAAGTAAATAAGGTTTTAAAAATGTTTAAGAAGCTTTAAATTAAATTAAATTAAAATGCAGAGCCCTCTGGACCGGTGGCCAGGACCCCAGCAGTGTGAGTGCCACTGAAAATCAGCTTGTGTGTCGCGTTCGGCATGCGTGACATAGGTTGCCTACCCCTGACCTAGATTATTGGCTACATATTGGATCAAAGGAGAACCAATATGTATAATATTGAGAGGGTTAAACCAGCTTCAGAATTCACAAAAATCTCTGCAAATAGTACCCTGTCCTACAGTCAATTACTAAAAGTTCTAAGGGATAAATCAATATTTGTTAGCATAGAATCATAGAAGACTAGGGTTGGAAGAGACCTCAGGAGGTCATCCAGGCCAACTCCCTGCTTAAAGCAGGACCAACCCCAACTAAATCATCCCAGCCAGGATTTTGTCAAGCCTGACCTTAAAAACCTCTAAGGATGGAGATTCCACCACCTCCCTAGGTAACCCATTCCAGTGCTTCACCACCCTCCTAGTGAAATAGTTTTTCCTAATATCCAATCTAAACCTCCCCCACTGCAACTTGAGACCATTACTCCTTGTTCTGTCATCAGGTACCACTGAGAACAGTCTAGATCCATCCTCTTTGGAATCCTCCTTGAGGTAGCTGAAGGCTGCTATCAAATGTGCTTCACTCTTCTCTTCTGCAGACTAAACAAGCTCAGTTCCCTCAGCCTCCCCTCATAAGTCATGTGCATCAGCCCCCTAATCATTTTTGTTGCCCTCTACTGGATTCTCTCCAATTTGTCCACATCCTTTCTGTAGTGGTAGTGGTGGTGGGGTGTGAAAACTGGACACAATACTCCAGATGTGGCCTCACCAGTGACGAATAGAGGGGAATAATCACTTCCTTCGATCTGCTGGCAATGCTTCTATTAATGCAGCTCTATATGCCATTAGCCTTCTTGGCAACAAGGACACACTGCTTACTCATATCCAGCTTCTCAGCCACTGTAATCCCCCCGTCCTTTTCTGCAGAACTGCCGCTTAGCCAGTTGGTCCCCAGCCTGTAGCAGTGCATGGGATTCTTCCTTTCTAAGTGCAGGACTCTGCACTTGTCCTTGTTGAACCTCATCAGATTTCTTTTGGCCCAATCCTCCAATTGTCTAGGTCCCTCTGGTGCCTAACCCATACCATCCAGTGTATCTACCTCTTCCTTCAGCTTAGTGTCATCCGCAAACTTGCTGAGGGTGCAATCATCATCCAGATTATAATGCATGAGAACAGCCACAGTAATTCTAGGAAAACCTCTGGAAAGTGAATGAAACTCCCTCTCTTTGAGATCACTGGAGTTGTTTGTCTCAAACTTTCAGGACAAGATCTACATAGTGATGAGACCTGGTAATCAAATTTCATACTCTCTAAAATGGGTTTGTGGAGGTGTGTGTGAAAATAAGAGCGATGACAGAATGCTATCTTTAACCTTAACTCCGAGGAGACCAGCTATGCCATCATGATAGCAGCGCACAGCTCTTCCCTTTGTGACACTGCTTTAAACACTCAAGAAAATGTTACATATTAAAAATAATAATAATACTAGGACAGAACTTCAATGACCCAAACTCCTCCCATGGATCTTTAGAGGAGGAGAAATAAAAATCCAGGGTTATTGTTCATTGCCAATATCAGCTGGAGTATGGCCAAATAATTATCATAAGGAAGCAATTGGGGGACAGAAGCTCTGTGTTAGCAGCTTTCCCTGCCACTAATATGGTACCCTGGGTGTGTGCACCACCACACTGCCGCTGCTAGCAGTGTGAGACCTTGCATGCCTCACTTACACCTACATCGCATGGAGACCCATAGGGGGAAATTCTGCCCCCATTGAAGTCAATGTGAAACTCCCAGGATTTCACCCCTTGCCTGTCTTCCTTCCCCTTTGGGCAGGCGGCCCATGGTGGGGAGGGTTACCAGCAAATGGTGCTGGGGCTTCACTTATAGGATCTGTCTCACTAGAGCAGATTCCCACTTGAGTAACATTTTGGAAGTTTTCAAACCTGCCTGGGAGATTTGACTGTCCAGTTCCCAGGAGTTTTAATAGGAACTTTGAAACCTTGAACATCTCTGCATTGGTTGTTTGTTTGACTGCAGAGGCTGGTGAGGGAAATCCCCTCTGTAGCCAGATAGATTTTGAGGCCATGGGGGATTCTGCGGTGTGGAGTTTGGGAAGGATATTTTCCTCTTGCCGGGATGTGTGTCTCCTGTGGGCAGGGCCTGACTGGCCAGGCTAACAGCAGATGTGGGAGGCAGGTACCTCCTCCTGGGTGGGGATCTGGGGCAGCAGCAGTGAGACCAGGGTAACAGACACAACCTGAAGACTGGGAATCCTGAGTAAATCCATGTTCCAAGCCCATGGGTCACTGCCGAGCTGGAACAGACAAATGAATCACTCTTTTCTATCACTTCACTTTGTCATTAATAAAAGCTGAGACTCACCCTGGCGCTTCCCACCCAATTCACGGAGGCATCTGGGGAGAGAATGACAGTTACACATTGTCACTTGGGTGTAAATGCCCTTAAGGGAAGGCACCTTGCTAAGCACAAATTATAACCCCCCCGGCTACCACCTCTCCCCCAGCCAGGGCAGGGCTCCCCCGTGGGCAGCACCGAGCACAATGGAGCCTGATCCTGATCAGGGTCGCTAGGGGATACCGGAGCAGAAGGATTTAATGCGGCTGTTGAAGTATTCAGTGGAAACTGTCTGTTTGGGTTTCCGCAGACCTATTTTGTCACAAACAGAGGTGGGTTTTGGCAAAAAATTTCAACATTTTGTTCAAAAAATGAGTGCCCCAAACCTGAAATATTTTGGCCAAAAGCAGAAATATTCTGATTCAAATATCACCTGGGTGCCACGTGGGACTTTTAGTGCAGTTGCCTCATGCTGATATTCTCCTCTATAGGTTGAGCTGGCTGGCTGGACTTCATCTCCCATGATACACTGCAACCAGGGTCCCTTCTCCAAGAGAGGAGATAGTGGTGCATCATGGGAGAGCATGAGACACCTGAACTACAGATCCCATGAGGCACACTTGCACCCAGGTCCCAGGGAAGGGTCTGGAACACTTTCCACTGGGAGCTTTCCCTGGGTTGTGTCCTTTCCATGAAGGACGGTAAGTGGTAGCACTTTGGCTCAGTCCCCTAAGCCATGGCAATGCAGGACTGGGGTTTACAGACAAAGGGTGGTACAAAGGAACCTCAGGGACTCAGATGCATGAACCCTGGGGCCCCAAGAACTCTCTGTCCTCATCCACTTTGATCACAGGCAGTTTGTTCTTGTAACTCTTGGCCAGACAGTCTGATCTGGGATCTGTCCAGCCCCCACCGATTAACACATTTATCCCCAACCCCCACCTTTCTCCCTCATGTGCATGTGACCCCGGTAACCCCAATACTCTACAAAAGCTCTTACATTCAATATGATCTTCAGGAGTGTTGCTGGTGTCACGCTGGACTTGTTCCCTGTGGGGAGTAATAAGGACAGGGGGTATCAGTGATGCCGTGTGCTCTCTGTGTGTCACCTTGGTGACACTGAGTCTGTTTTCAGAGATCCAGCTGTGAGGAGATTTCTTCCCATGGCTGGTTCTCTGGCTAGGACCTTACATCTCCATTCAGCTCACACTCAGGGGAAAGGCAGCAGGCCCTACTTCTGGGTAATCAGGGAACATGGCGGCTTCACTATTTATGCAGGGAAAATCTAATAAAGATGAGACTTGAACATCCTGTTCTATTTCAGCAAAATGGCCAAGAAACCAACTAACCAAAACCCCACTAGGTCAGCACGGAGTTAAGCTTGGGGGGGAAACCGAAAATCCCTGACATCTCAGGACAGAAGTTGAAGAGAACTCGGTCGTTTTCACAAAGTTAAAACTGGGTGACATTTTTCAACAGAATTTTTTTTCATGAATAATAGTTTAACCAAAATCAAATGTTTGCTCATTTTGTTTTCTTTTGAATGGACATTTTTATTTTGTTTTGTTTCACTTTAAATTATTTTGTCAGGAAAAAAACTTTTTTTTTTTGAAAATTTTTGAACAAAATTGTTTATTTGAATTTTTTTATTCAAATAAAACTGGAATTTTGGCCAGGTCTGCTCACAGTGTAGAAAGACGGAATGTTCATGGTTAAAGCTCAACTCTGCACAGTGTGAAAATGCAGCTTCAGACCCCACTTCTGGCCTAGTCTGCTAACCAACTCCCATGTCCCAGGAAGGCAGGGCGGGGGTGTTTTGGGACAGAGACTGGTCATATGGCAGGAGGAGGGAGGGAGGGAATATTTGGGCCCCAGGTTGCCCCAAGTTTCATTGCTAAGTACTGCTGGCTCGCTGTCTGCCCACCATCCAGTCAGGGAGTTTGAGGGACCCCCCTGACTGGGTAGTGGCAGCTAAGGAGCCCTATAGGTGGGGGCGAAGAATGCAGGCAGGGAACATACACTGCTGGGAGTCGGGGTGAGGGCTCCCAGTACCAAAGGTCATGTGCCCCCCACCAGTTTTATTGGCAGAGTCGCTGCACTGGGAATCCAGTCTGGGCCGGACACTGGCAGAGCCTGGAAACTGCTCTTAGTCTCCCCATGCGCCTTTCCCTCTCTGTGTCCAGCTGGTCACTCCATGGACTCACTGGACTGCCACCTGGTGCTCTCTGCCCCACCCCCAGGGCTGGCTTCTCTCCCTATCATATCCAGCTGGGCCAGGACCATGTAGATTTGCTGGAGTCCCTCTCAGGGCAATGTGCAGCTGATGAATCAGCTCTGAGCTCTGAGGGCCCCCCGGCCCTCAGAAGGGCAGCAGCAGGCCCCTCGGGCTGAAGAAGGTGACTGGGAAGTCAGAGGGGGAGGGGAGCAGGAGTCTGGGGGAGCCCTGAGTGGCAGGTTCTGGCTGCAGAGCAATGGGGAGCGACACTTAGACACTCTCTGCAGGGCCCCTGGAGAGTCTCTGTATGTGGATGGTTGGGGAGAGTTCCCTCAAAACCCCCTGACTGGGTGATGGGCAGACAGAGAGCCAGCTGCACTTAACAGCTCCAACGAAACTGGGGGCAGCCTGGGGCCCAATGAGCTGGTCCTCCTGGGCCGTGCTGCAGAGGTGACTGGCTCAGAGCCCCTTCTGCACAACATGTTGTTCACATGGACAGTGCGCTCTGAATCCTCACGGGCGTCCCTGCTGCCCGGCTCTCCCCAGCAGGTGGAGGAGTGCTACAGCCGCCCCATGCACAGACCTGCACCGAAATCACAGCTGCTGTGGCACTAAACCAGCTGCATCCAATGGAGCCAACGTTGGGTGTTACCCACTGCAGCTGGATGGACTGGAGACCCTTGGTTCCCAGCCAGGCCTGGCCACTCCCAGCCCCACCCCAGAAGAACAGACCCGGTTCTAGGGAACTGGCTGGGTCGGTCGGTGTTACTTTGTGGCCGACCAGCCCCAACACCCCCTGAGTGTGAAGCAGGGTCACTTTCATTCTTTCAGGCACCCAAGGGTGATTTTCAAACACGCTCACTCTGCTGCCAGTGAATTCGATGGGAACACGTCACTTTGGCAAACCCCTTCCTTAAAGTGTCTCCTCCTAAGCCCCAGATCCCATCCTGACCAGGGAGTTCATCCTTCCCTGGCCTTTTCAGAAATTCCTCCAGAACAGACTGACACCCCCTGCATCAGGAGAGCTGAGCTACTCAGCTGCCGGCCCTTCCGTGAGGCAGAGAGAAGGGACCCAGAAAGAAAATGAGATGGGAGAGGGAATTATCTCCTCCTACCTTTGATCCCTTGGTAGAGACGCACCTGGAAGCAGTGAGACAATGTGATCAGAGACGAGGACACGTTTTCTCATGGGCAGAGAGAGAGAGAGAGGGAAACTGAGTAAAAGCTTCCAAATTCATCATCATATTGACTCGGAGCCCCATCCCATGGCCCAGCCCAGCGCTCTCCTCCACCAGCCCCACTGACTGCCCCTGGGAGCAGTGTGGCCAAGTCTGATGATTTTAGTTGCAATCTCATGGCAATTCATGTTCTACGTAAAGCCCCAGGTCTGAGAGTCAGGGGCTTCAGTGAGAATCTCGGCTTTCATAAAAAATAAAAAGTGTAAATTTATAACCCGTGTGTTTGAGGAGAAAAGCCTGAAACTGTGACCTGAGAGACCCCTCAAAGATCAAATCCCCCAGCAAACACAAAGACCTCACACTGGTGACTGGTTGGAAATCCCATGAGGTTTAAGCCAATCTCGAGATTGTTGGGGTGACTCGAGTGCTGTGAAAGCTTGGGGCTGGGGACACTGTGTGAGGAAAGGTTGGCAGGGCACAGCTGTGTCCAGAGCTCTGTTTTCAGAGTTCTTAGAACCTGATTCAGGAAACCACTTACACGTGGGCACAGGTGTAAGGGCCATTCTGACTAGGGGATGCCTTCCTGAACTGCAGCCTTAGTTACCTGCCTGTCGATATTCCATCCAGACACATGCCGCTGTCTGATTGTGACGATCTATGGGGCAGGGCCTGTACCCTTCATTACTGATCTGTGCAGTCCTGGCACAGTGGAGGCCTGATTCCTGATTGGGGCTCCAGGGCACTACAGTAACATACCTAATAAATAATGGACAGCGCCTAGCACAGTGGGGCTCTGATCCCTGGGGCTCCAGGGTGCTACTGTAATAGAAATAATATAATCACAATGATAATCCCTTTCATCGTCTCTTTGATTTTTCTCTCCAGCCAGCCTCCCAAAAACACAATTTCACTGTGTCTTTGATGATCTCTCTCAGGGGATCGTCTCTGCCACATCTGTCTGTACATTTGCTGACACTGCTTGGCCTCACTGTCATACCCACCTTTCTTTCCCAGAAGATAAAGCACCACAGTCAGAACCATGACAGCAGGGATTGTAATTCCCAACAGGAGCTTTAGATCCAGCCCTAGGAAAGAACCTCGATGTGAATGGCCTCTCCAAGCAGCCACCAGCAAGTCCCCACTGGCTGGAGCTGGCTGAGTCCTGTGGTAACTGACCCCTAATGTCCTCATGAGCATACCTGGAAGCTTATCCCATAGTTATCTTCAGAGCAACGTTATTCTTTGTGAGTAAAGCTCACTGAAGTTTTTCCACATTTGGTTTGCCAAACTTTTTTTAAATCCAAACATGGTTTAACTGAAACCAAAATCTTTCTCCCAAAGTATTCACTACCAAGTGCCTTCTTAATCTTTCCACAAAAATAATTTTAAAATGAAAGAAAACATTTTGTTTTGTTTTGAATTGACAGTTTTGTTTCATATTGGAAATGGAAGGAAAATGTCCGTTAGCTTTGAAACTGAACGAAGCAAAGCTATTAGTGTTTCTGACATTTTTGTCGCATTTTCGTTCTGAAAACCCAAAACAAATGAAAATGTCTAATTCAAATGAGGCCAAATGAAATTTTTTTGTTGAGTTTCATGAATATTTTTTCATTAAAACTTTGAAATTTTCCATACAAGTTCTGAGTAAAATAGTTTTGTTCACAATTGTTTGTGGAAATAAACCTGTATTTCCCCCCACCTTTAAGGGTGAGCTCCTCAAGGCAGGAAACATGCCTGTGGGATCTGCCCTGCTTCAGGGAAGCATCACTATTCAGGACAGCACCCAGGTACAAACTTAACTTCAAACAACCATTTTAGTTCCAGCAATGGGACTGTAGCAGGTGCTTAAAGTTAAGCACATACATAGGAGCTGTCCTGAAAAGGGATGGTCTTGAGCACATGCTTGAGAGCTTTCCTGAGTCAAGGGCACAGATCTGTATGGCATGCAGAGATCTGTGCAGAGCCAGTGGAAGAGTTTTCCATCAGAAAATGCCGTTTCTTTAAAATCAAAACCTTTTAACAAGGCTCTTCGGTGTTTCGGAATCTAAATGTTGCTACATTTCTGTTCCTTGCAATATCTGAAATTTTGACTTTTCATCCTGATTTAGGATGAAAATAAAATGTGAAAAGTCAGAATTTCTCACGGGATACAAATGCCATTTCCCCTCAAGTTCTGGAGGCAGATATATAATTAGTGTCTCTCTGGCAGTAGTCAGTAGGTGGCGATGTTACACAATGTCTGACACCATTTTTTCCTAGCCCTGGGAGTGCTGCACACAGCCATTGTCAGCATATTGGTAGGTGTTGGTTTGCTAAGTAAGAGGCTTTGGGGGCAACTGGGGAAACAGCCAGGTATGAGCTCTGCTACGGTCAGTTTCTGGGGCTCGATTGTTGCCTGGGAACTGGGCATTGGTGCTGGGCTGAAATAAATTCCTGCAACGGGTTTGCCCACATGCTGTGTGTGTAGGGTTACCATACGTCCGGTTTTTCCCGGACATGTCCTGCTTTTCGGCAATCAAACCCCCGTCCAGGGGGAATTGCCGAAAAGCCAAACATGTCCGGGAAAATGCCGGCTGGGCACTTCCCCTCCCGCGGCTGCTCTGCTCCGCTCCTCCCCTCTCAGACTTTAAGAGCCGAGCTGCCCGAGCCAGCGCTACTGGCTTCGGGCAGCCCCCCCTGCCTCCGGACCCCGAGCCGCCGGCCAGGCACTTCCCCTCCCGGGCTCCAGCTGCACTGGGGAAG